TAACAGCGACGTAAAAGCTGCATAAATTCCATTCTATATCCCATAGTTTGTAGACGCCATAACTTCACACAGACCAATCAATATCCACGGATTCAGCTATGCTTCTACCAAAGACACGGAGCAGAATACACGTTGTACTTACATGTATGAAGAAATCTGATTTTATGGGATATGTTTTATAACAAAGTAGAAGAAGATATAATTTGTTTTCAAAATTAAAAAATAAACCCCCCCCCCCGTGGTGATCAAATACCACCAATAGAAAGCTCTATTTATATCAGTGAAACTTGTGCACAGTGTAGCATGACTGCACAATTGTCAGTTAAAGTAGTGCAGTGCTGAACAGAAAAAAAAATACCCTTATCATGAAGGAGGTAAAACATTCCGGAGCTGAAGTAGGTAATAAATCTTGTTGTCATCCTACAGTTTGGTTTCATTTTCTAAACATTTCTCAGGCTGCAGTTCTTCTGAGCTCCACAAGGTGGTGGTCACACATATACAGAGACAGGAAGTGATGCCAGGCACAGGCAGGAAGTGAGGTCAGGCCCAGAGAGGAAGCATTGTCAGGCACAGACAGGAAGTGATGTGAGGCATAGACAGGAAGTGAGGTCAGGCACAGACAGGAAGTGATGTCAGGCACAGACAGGAAGGGAGGTCAGGCACAGGCAGGAAGTGAGGTCAGGCATAGACAGGAAGTGATGTTAGGCACCGACAGGAAGTGATGTCAGGCACAGACAGGAAGTGAGGTCAGGCACAGACAGGAAGTAAGGTTTGGCACAGACAGGAAGTGATGTCAGGCACACACAGGAAGTGACGTCAGGCACACACACAGGAAGTGATGTCAGGCACAGACAGGACGTGACATCAGGCACACACAGGAAGTGACATCAGGCACAGACAGGAAGCTCCATGTGGGAGGAATTATAGAGGAGACGTTGCTGGAAAGTGTGAGCAGAGGAGGTAATGAGATTGTATTTGATCATATCTCCCATCACTCTCCCTTGTGTGACACCATATTTCTCTGTCCCTCTTTGCCCTGTAAATGTCCCTCTTTTCGGTGTGATGTACACACAGACATATGAACAGACAATAGAACGGCCCAAAGTCTTCATATGGCTCTCAGATTTCCCTCAGATTTCACATTATTTCCCGTATTGAAGTGAAAAACTCGGATAGAAAAGTAATAGTGAGATCAGACATAAGTGGGTGTCACTGATCACATTGTCCCCAAACGTTCACCCCAGATAAAACGTTTTCCCGGTCAGGCTCCGGTCACACCAGGAACTGCACGTTTCTCATGACTCCCCACAGCCGGTTTCCTCCTGCTCATGGGCCAATCGTACTGCACTTTGTGAAATGGGCCGCCGTCCTCTTGGACCTGGGGGGAGAGAAGGAGGAGGACAGTACGGGGCCCCAAGTACTCATCAGTGAGGGACACTCACTTCCAGAGACTCTCCACTCTCATCCCGGACTTCACTTCTATAGAAGAAAGGAGGAAACTCCAAATTCTACTGGGAGAAGAGGAGCCAATGGGGGAAATAGCTGCACCACATGTGACACCATGCCACAGACTGAGAGGGACATGAAACACTGAGGACTTCATAATCCTTCCCATGGACCCCTCCCCCTTTATATTTCCCCCTCTTCCCATACAAACTGCTTTGGCAATGCTACAATGTCATTTGTTCCTGCCAATAAAGCTCATTGAATTGAGAGGGAAAGAGAAAGAAGGAAAGATGGTGTCGCTAATCATGGTGGGACGCCTCATTTGCGGAGTTCCCGGTTTTGTCCTCTAACCCCCCGGTCACACATCCAGCTTACAGTGAAGTCGTACGATTTCCAAGTCGGGAAAATGCTGATTTCAGGAGTGACACCAATGTCTATGCCAATCCCACCAATAGTAGTGCAGGGACGACTTTAGAAATCGCTGCGACTCCCACCAAGTCACACCCCCCGATATGACCCGTCATTGTGGGCAGTAGGGGGCGACTTGTGATCTACAAGAAGCATAGCATGGAAATGGCATGCCGAGTGACACCCCATGTGACCGGGGACTAAACACTGAAAGAAGCGGAGTTCTCTCTCAGCCCACCTCTCTCTGTATTTGTTTCTTCCATAGAGAAAACCCCGAGAGTCCTGGATGGGAATGATTGGTTTCCAGAGAGAGACAATCAGCAGAAAGAAATGTCCTGTGTTGGTGGTGTCACTGCTAGGAAATACATGTCCTGTGTTGGTGGTGTCACTGGAAGGAAAGAAATGTCCTGTGTTGGTGGTGTCACTGGAAGGAAATACATGTCCTGTGTTGGTGGTGTCACTGGAAGGAAATAAATGTCCTGTGTTGGTGGTGTCACTGGAAGGATAGAAATGTCCTGTGTTGGTGGTGTCACTAGAAGGAAATAAATGTCCCGTGTTGGTGGTGTCACTGGAAAGATAGAAATGTCCTGTGTTGGTGGTGTCACTAGAAGGAAATAAATGTCCTGTGTTGGTGGTGTCACTGGAAGGAAATAAATGTCCTTGTGTGTTGGTGGTGTCACTGGAAGGAAATAAATGTCCTGTGTTGGTGGTGTCACTGGGAAGGAAATAAAAATGTCCTGTGTTGGTGGTGTCACTGGAAGGAAAGAAATGTCCTGTGATGGCGATGTCAATGGAAGGAAAGAAATGTCCTGTGTTGGTGGTGTCACTGGAAGGAAAGAAATGTCCTGTGTTGGTGGTGTCACTAACAAGGTTGTCACCAAAGCAGAAGCGGAAGGGATGGAATCCTGGTTGGTTCCGGGTTCTGATGTCACAGAGAAGGAGGGACAACATCAGTTTTTTCCTCTGTGTTTGCTCAGTGCTCAGGATGCCACCAGTTGGATGAGTCCCGGCTCCCCGGTGGGATGGGAAGAAGCCAGGAAAGGGGACAGTGGGATGGGGGGACCCTCTTCCTCCAATTGTGGAAGGGATGGAGTGGCTGTATAGCTGCTGAATCTCCGGCTGATCATTGTGATATGGGGAGGATGCCGGCAGCTGCAATCCTCCTCCCGGTGTGACCACTTCACCCCGAGGACCTCAGAGGACTTCTTCTGGGCACAGGGAGATAGCAATCCACACCGGGGTCCCTGCAGCCACAACTAGAACCACAGCATCGGGGTCTGCAGTTCTGAGCCGCTGGATCCCTCCGCACATCAGGACAAAGTCCCCGGTCTGGGATCTACAATACTCCCAGTTCTGGGCAACTGATACACAAAAAGAGATATTCAAGACCTGACTGTGACCATGGGGGATCTATGGGGGTGCTGGGAGATCTGTGTGGGGGTGCTGGGGGAATTATGGGGGTGCTGGGGGAATTATGGGGGTGCTGGGGGATCTATGGTGGTGCTGGGGGAATTATCGGGGTGCTGGGAGATCAATGGGGGTGTTTGGGGATCTAAGGGGGTGTTGGGGTATCTATGGGGGTGCAGGGGAGATCTATGGGGGTGCTGGGGGAATTATGGGGGTTCTGGGGGATTTATGGGGGTGCTGGGGGAATTATGGGGGTGCTGGGGGGGGATCTATGGGGTGCTGGGGGAATTATCGGGGTGCTGGGAGATCTATGGGGGTGCTGGGGGATCCATGGGGGGCTGCTGGGAGATTTATTGGGGATTGGGGGGATCTATGAGGGTGCTGGGGGATATATGGGGGTGCTGGGGGAATTATCAGGGTGTTGGGGGACCTATGGGGGTGCTGGGGGAATTATGGGGGTGCTGGGGGATATATGGGGGTGCTGGGGAATTATGGGGGTGCTGGGGGATGTCATGGAAATTTTGTATTGTTGGTCGAACTTTAAATGTGTCATATATGAGTGTTATTCATATGTCTCTCGTGTGGCTTAATTAAAGCTCTGAAGGCTGCAATTGGGCCATGCCATGTACAATGTATGTATTACAGTACTCAGCTTGGTAATGGATGAGATGGCAGATCTGCGCTTATAGACCGGCGTGTATACCACCACGGCATTCGATGCGAATGTCGCTGGCAGTAGACCGTGGGCCTGTATCCACATATCAGCAGCATGGTACCACATGGGCTTCATAACGCAAGGCGCCAAGCGGTACGAACTCCACGTGTAGGCTTATGCATATCTTACAACCCATTACTAATCTGAACTGTATCTTGGATGGATGTGTTTTAATAAAGATCGTATCGGGCCCATCCAGGTACAGACTGATATTTTTAGGGAGATGCTTGTGCAGAGAATGGACATACCAATAGAAGCTAGTAGGACAGGAAATATGACCTCAGATGGCTCATAGGGGGGAAGGGGAGGAAGTCTGCTGACCTCAGAAGGCTCATGGGGGGGGAAGGGGAGGAAGTCTGCTGACCTCAGAAGACTCATGGGGGAGGACCAGTGATAGATAATAGGAAAGGCTATGCTCCAATCGGAATGTACATCCTGTGTATAGGCACTCCCCATTGCATTGTTCGGTGGGAGGGGATTGACTTTATTCATGTGGGGGGCATGTGTGTATTTTTAATAAAACAGAGAGCTGAGTCTGAAACCAGCCCTTATGTGAATTGCAACACCATCCTGAGAGTGTCGTTTGATCATTCTAGGGTAACGGAGCTCCAATTCCCCACATTTCAACAGAAGCTAAAAGTAGTTGGATGGGCAGGAATCGTGTAATTTAGCTGCAGTCATGGTAAGCGAGATTCGCACAGCTTTATGGGGGATTTCTGCGCATCCAACTGCGAGTACTCACGGTAAGGAGAAATTCGTTTAAAACGAATTTCCAAGACACCTGTACATACCGATCACTGTCATACCTCCATACTCCTCTCCTGTACATACCCATCACTGTCATACCTCCGTACCTCCGTCATACCTCCTCTCCTGTACATACCCATCACTGTCATACCTCCGTACTCCTCTCCTGTACGTACCCATCACTGTCATACCTCCGTACTCCTCTCCTGTACATACCCATCACTGTCATACCTCCGTACTCCTCTCCTGTACATACCCATCACTGTCATACCTCCGTACTCCTCTCCTGTACATACCGATCACTGTCATACCTCCGTACTCCTCTCCTGTACATACCGATCACTGTCATACCCTCCGTACTCCTCTCCTGTACATACCGATCACTGTCATACCTCCTGTACTCCTCTCCCTGTACATACCCATCACTGTCATACCTCCGTACTCCTCTCCTGTACATACCCATCACTGTCATACCTCCGTACTCCTCTCCTGTACATACCCATCACTGTCATACCTCCGTACTCCTCTCCTGTACATACCCATCACTGTCATACCTCCGTACTCCTCTCCTGTACATACCCATCACTGTCATACCTCCGTACTCCTCTCCTGTACATACCCATCACTGTCATACCTCCGTACTCCTCTCCTGTACATCTCCTGTACATACCTATCACTGTCATACCTCCGTACTACCCATATCACTGTCATACCTCCGTACTCCTCTCCTGTACATACCCATCACTGTCATACCTCCACACTCCTCCACACCACCACCTGAACAGGAAGGACCTTCTGCCGAATGGAAACCTGACACCGTGCATTCCATGTGTGTAGTAACGGGTCACTAGACAAACTAGAAAAAAGAGTGTTCAAATGAAAACCAGCATGACTTTCCAATGCCCCATATACCCACTCTGCATAAGACATGCAGTGCAGGAAGGGGATGTCCAGAGCCCTCCCCACCTCTTTATACACCTCTATGTTGAAGGGACACTGAAGCAAGAAGTGGTCCATAGATTCCACCTCGCCCCCCCACACTCCGTCCTCGACAACCACGGTCATCCAGAGAACGGCACTTCAGGTTTCCCCTCACGTAGAGCCTGCCGTGGAACGCAAGCCAGGACTGGTCCCTAAACTTCAAGGGAATCCTTTCCATATTTAACAAACGTAGCCCCTCCCACAAAATATGGCCTGGGCAATCCTTCAAGGCCAATGGTGCATGAAACGCAGAGGCCACGACCCTTTCCCTCAGAAGTCTCCCCGTGTGCTCCTCCTGTACATGCCGGCTGCCCACTGCACATGTGCGAGAAGCGCTGCTCTTTGTGAATTGCCCCGTAGTCTTCTGGGACCTGTCACGTGTCCCACTACTGGGGGGGGGGGGGGACAACCTCTGCTTCTGATCGCCTAGGCAATTACAACGGAAGTGGAAGCTGGTACCTGCCAAACTCGGGCACCCGCTCCACAACCCCCCCCCCCCCCCACTTCAAAGGTCTGCAGTCTCTGGTCATCTCCTGTACTGTCTGCAGTCTCTGGTCATCTCCTGTACTGTTTTCCGCAGTCTCTGGTCATCTCCTGTACTGTGTCCGCAGTCTCTGACCATCTCCTGTACTGTGTCTGCAGTCTCTGGTCATCTCCTGTACTGTGTCCGCAGTCTCTGGTCGTCTCCTGTACTGTGTCCGCAGTCTCTGGTCGTCTCCTGTACTGTGTCCGCAGTCTCTGGTCGTCTCCTGTACTGTGTCCGCAGTCTCTGGTCATCTCCTGTACTGTGTCCGCAGTCTCTGGTCATCTCCTGTACTGTGTCCGCAGTCTCTGGTCGTCTCCTGTACTGTGTCCGCAGTCTCTGGTCGTCTCCTGTACTGTGTCCGCAGTCTCTGGTCCGTCTCCTGTACTGTGTCCGCAGTCTCTGGTCGTCTCCTGTACTGTGTCCGCAGTCTCTGGTCATCTCCTGTACTGTGTCCGCAGTCTCTGGTCGTCCCCTGTACTGTGTCCACAGTCTCTTGTCGTCTCCTGTACTGTGTCCGCAGTCTCTGGTCGTCTCCTGTACTGTGTCCGCAGTCTCTGGTCGTCTCCTGTACTGTGTCCGCAGTCTCTGGTCGTCTCCTGTACTGTGTCCGCAGTCTCTGGTCGTCTCCTGTACTGTGTCCGCAGTCTCTGGTCATCTCCTGTACTGTGTCCGCAGTCTCTGGTCATCCCCTGTACTGTGTCCGCAGTCTCTGACCATCTCCTGTACTGTGTCCGCAGTCTCTGGTCATCTCCTGTACTGTGTCCGCAGTCTCTGACCATCTCCTGTACTGTGTCCGCAGTCTCTGACCATCTCCTGTACTGTGTCCGCAGTCTCTGACCATCTCCTGTACTGTGTCCGCAGTCTCTGACCATCTCCTGTACTGTGTCCGCAGTCTCTGACCATCTCCTGTACTGTGTCCGCAGTCTCAGGTCATCTCCTGTACTGTGTCCGCAGTCTCCGGTCATCTCCTGTACTGTGTGTC